TAAAAAGCTATGCTAATACAAAATTACATGGCCGAAAGAAATAAATAGAACGTAGCAAAACGAAAAGCAATACCGTATGATTCTCTGATAGGAGAACAATCGCCAAATGCTTTCTGTCAACATTTGAAGGACTGAAAAATTGCAGAAATGAGAAATGGAAGAAAATAAGCGTAAAAATTTACCTGTATGAATTGTCGGTCCAAACGCTTGCAAATTTTTTAGAATTTTATTTTGAAAATTATATTTTTAATGTTATTGACATAATTTTATTGGATAATGTTTGACATTATTTGCAACTGTCGACAGCTTTTTTCCTGCGTGCGTTGAATTGCATTTACATATTGCATGTCTTTAAGTTCATTTGAATATCAGTGCACTTATCTCTCTTTTACTTTCTTTCCCGTAATCCTTTCTTTTTCAGCATCTCGTGATCGGTAGATGCTTTTTTGCTATTTTTATTTGTTGCATATCTTTCGCACTGACTTTACTTTATAATTATCCCTAACAGTTAGCATTGAATTGTTTCCTGAATGCAGTTTAGAGTTACTTCTACTTATTTATGTCTTCAAGATTTTTTCTTTGGTTCGGGAGAACAGACTGATATTCCACGACAAGTATGATTGGAAAAATTTATCGAAGGATGATTGGACATATTAACAGTTAACGGCGTCCAAAGGTGAATACTCTCCATTCTCGATTACCGACTGGTAACGACTTAATCGAATCACCTTATTCTAAAGAAGACACGTCATAGTTGGAGATCGTTACTTTCTTAGCTTCTTATTTATTGCTTTTCTTTTTTGTTTCAAGATTATTTCTACTTATTGCTTTTTATTTTTACTAAATTTATTACATGTCATTTTGCTCATCCCAATTACCGTATGCAACTTCAACCTACAAAAATGTTATGCGTGTAAACAAGTTCATATACATCACTAATTGAATTTCTCACTTTATTAGTCTCCTGATAATTAATTATCTTACTGACAGAATCAAATTTTCAGGATTAATGAGTCTAATTAAATTTTAAATTCAATTGACTTCCGTTGCGTTGTACAATTTATATCTATAACTTTCCAATAATTTCACAAGCTCACATAACCTTGTGTATAAATTTTATTTTAAAAAAAATTCCAAATAATTAATCAGAAAAAGCGTATAAGGAAATGAAAAATTATTGGTGCGCATAATGACATTGAGAGAATTGAAGTTAAAAAGAAATTAAAACTTTAAGTGAGAGAAAGATAAACAAATATTTTCCAACATCATAAATTATTTTATAACTATATGAAAATCATCAATAAGTGATAACGAATGAATGATGTATCAAACAATAAGCTATACATAAATGGGAAAGGTTATCAGATTAAAGATCAACTTTTCATTTCTTAATGTACCGATGAGTAAATACAATCGTATGGCATAATTACAATGATGGTACCAAATAGAGAAAATACAAAATATAATGAGTTTTTCATCAACTGTATAATTAAGCACACATATCATTGACCTTTACAAAGTGTTGTATATCATTATATCATTGACCTTTAGAAAGTGTTGTGAATAAGAGTTAAAGATGGAGTAATTGTTCGCTGTGTATTAAACTTTGACATTTGAAGAAGAATGATGTATTGATTGTTAGTGACCTATCTTCACGATGGAATATCTCATAATGCCTGCAATGCTACATAAAATCATTCAGTGTTGCTTTTCTTCTTACTCTAATGGGCATAAATATATTTGATGGATTATAGCCTGATTGAAGTCTTCATTACCTTTACTTGGGATAACTGCAAATTGACTGAAGAATAGACAAAAAATGGCCAACGATAGTCTTCCTGGCTATTTTCAATAAGTTCGGCGAAGAGCGTTCATTACGTCTGCTGATGATTCGCGGTCGGCCGTTCTTTTTTCCGTTTCACGTAATTCTCGTATGTTCCAAGTAACTTCTTCGATGGAAATTAATATATATCAAATTTATTTTCTCTCTCTTTATGCGCTGATTGCATGTGTTATTGAGAGATATTTACCTGGCAAATGGCTTAGTTGTAAAATAACTTTACTATTAGATAATATCACTTTATTATCAGACAATACTGATAACTTCTTTATTCATTGATTCTTAGTGTAAAGTAATTGGTCAGGTATTACGTGATGGTAATCATTTTGTTCTCATCTATAGAAAATAAAAATGAAGGATATTGATGGAAATTTTTTCCTCGATAACACAATATATATGTTCATTGTTAGTTTCAGAAATTGATTGATGTCTCGACATCGTAATATCCGTAATATGAAGTATGATGAAGGTTAGTATTATCGTTATTATCGGTTCTTAGTTATAGATATATTGATGTCAGTTTCTAATTTATACTGTTTCTGATATGTCCCTCTCCTTCATGCAATTCATCTAAGTCTCGCAGGATGATGTTTACCTCTCTTTCATATCAAAATAGGACTTTTGAATGACATTATATTCTATAAATATTTTTGTAGATAAATAGATTGAGTAAAAATTTAATGCCATATTTAAGAGCGATATGATGAAGATGATGAAGAATTTCACCGATACAGCATCTCAACGGACGATGAAGCAGTTTCATCGGGTGCAGGTATCTCTTCCTCACTATTTCACATTATTAATATAGTCTTACATAGTCTTAAATAGACATTAATATGTTTACTATATGTCGCCGTTTTGTGACTCTGCGAAATTCAGTTATGCCTCATTCAGCTTTGTTTGCTTTTTATCATTGGACTAATTATCAAGAATTGAATAGTAAGCTTAGTTATGCCTCATTCAGCTTTGTTTGCTTTTTATCATTGGACTAATTATCAAGAATTGAATAGTAAGCTTAGTCGTATGTCTCGTAGTGAAACTCTTTACTTGTTACTTACTTCATTAAAACTTAATGATCTCACTTTACTTGTTTGTACGTAGCTTATAGTTATACTCAATAGTCTATATCCATTCTTATTCACTTAATGATTTAATGTTCCATAAAACATGATGGTTGGTTTTTTATTTTGTTTCTGTGAGACTTGCAATTTTTAATGTATCGTGAACTAATTTTTATAGAAGAATATATATATAAACGGACGCATACGAACTCTTTCAATAATAACAAGGCCGGCTTTAGCATCGCAGATTTTATCGCAGAAGAAGGCCTTCCGGAACTGGTTGATGATGTTATGGATGATTCTGGAGATAGTTGCACTGCCAAAATACATGTTCAGAGAGCTCGACAAGATGGTAAGTTTGAAATGATGAGTACTATCGTCCATTCACCTCTTTACCTTTCTTTATGTTTTCCATAATAAGGAATATAGTTTTTCCGAAAAGTGATATTTTTCATGCTCCATATTTGAAGTTTAGAGTTAGCAGAAAATAATGCGTCAAGGGATCATCAAGCAGTTAGAAGTAGGGATAAGGAGATTCGAATTTGCGAGCAGGTAATAAATCAAGAGTCCAAGAAAGCAAGAACGGTAAGTAACTGATTGAATGATCTGGTATTACCCACCTAATATTCATTTAATTTTGAAATGTTTGCTTCGATCATTTCGGAGGAAAAATAAATATGAAACATTGAGTACTCATCTTTTTATGGTCAAGCATTGATTAAAATGTTGCTGTTAGAAACTTCCAATAACAGTGTATGCTAATACCCACCAGCATACTGATTCGTAATTAATATGTTATGTTATAACAGAATGGCAATAGTGAATACTTGCCAGAAATATCACAAATGGAGAATTTGCAACTGTCAGAAGGCATGGAAAGGGACACGCGTGAGAAAAAATTTTCGAATCAAGTACTAAAAGCGAGTGCTAGCAACAGGAGACTAACTGCTCTTGATGCTGCATTAAATGCTGTTGTACAGTCCCCTAGGTTCAGTTTATCATGTGTTGTTTAGATTTGGTGTAATATATTCTGTTCTTTAATTTACGAACAACATTGAATTGTTAAAGAATTGTTCAAATGTTTTAAAAAATAGCGAGTGCTGCTTTCTGAGCAGTCTAAGACTATAACAACAATCATTTTAGAGCGAAACAACCTTTTCAAGAAAATAAACCGATTGTTAATGTGGTCATTGTTGGTCATGTAGATGCTGGTAAAAGTACGCTAATGGGACATCTTCTATATCAAGTATACTTTTACTTTCCTTTAAAACATGGATTTGGAATAGCTAAGATGAAAGAATGGAGTACTTCTCACATCAAAAATTGAATGTATTTCACCATATGATTTACATTCTATATAGCATGTTATTATGACGAATGGAGATTCCCAAAAAATATTTGAATTACTGGATGTTAATTAAATAGTCAGAAAATATTGTCTTGTGAACTACACGTGAAAGAAAGATTGTTGCTATAAATATATTCTAACGAATTAGGCTTACCGTCATTTACTAATAGGCAATGATTCAAACTTAAATTGATTAAACTTTGAAGTTCATTGAGTAGCGTGAACTTCTTGCTTTATCCATCACTGTATGTATTTGTCCCTATGTAAGACATAATGTTACAGGTGGGTAATGTCGATGAGCGAACTATGCATAGGTACAAACAAGAATCAGCTAAGACTGGCAAATCATCCTTTGCATATGCTTGGATTCTTGATGATACACTGGTATATTATCATTTGAGTCCATTACTTGATGAAAACTGATGACTTCTCTGTGTTAAAGTGATTTCTGAAAATGAATTTATTTTTCCTTGAATAAATAGATCCAGCTTAGGAAGAGAGGCAACGAGGTGTAACAATGGATATTGCTCGGACAACCTTCGAAACTGAACACCGAAAAATCTTCATTCTGGATGCACCAGGTCACAAGGACTTTATTCCCAACATGATTACAGGTATTCATTCTTTATTCGTTTTTAATTGTTTATCTTTCTTTTTTTTGGAACGTGCCACTTTTTTAAGTCTGTTGGAGATTAAAATGTATTCTTAGTACTATACAGGAGAGATGCCCTGCCTCATCATGGGCTGGAAGTTCCATATTAAGTAGAATCGTATTTTGGATTGAATTTGAACTTTCAGTTTTGAGAAGATTGTAGGATTATTTATAATTCATTCATCAGGATTTTACGTATTTTAGGTGCTGCTGAAGCAGATGCTGGTATACTGGTTATCAATGCAACCTGCGGAGAATTCGAGACTGGGTTCAGTCAAGGAGGCCAGACGAAGGAACATGCAATTTTACTTAGATCATTGGGTTTGTGCCTTGATGTACGGTTAACTTATATAAGATTGTTCTTTATTGTTATATAATGAGTGAAATTGAGTGAATAATGAGTGAAATAATGAGTGCCTAAAACTTCAAAATTCTTAAATATTTGCGCATCTGAGCTGAAAGAGAATAGCACAAATTTTTTTGCAGGAATAAATGAACTGTTAGTTGCCATAAATAAGATGGACACGGTGAATTGGTCTCAGCAACGGTACGATGAACTTTGTGCAACTCTAAAAATTTTTCTTAGAAAACAAGCTGCTTATTCAACAATTAAATTTGTGCCGCTCTCCGGTTTGGATGGAATTAATTTGACAAAAGTACCATCTAATGGCCATCCTTTATGCAACTGGTATCAAGGACCAACATTGTTGCAATTAATGGGTGAAGATTCTTAAGGTTTTTAAGAATTTGGAAGAAAGAAGATATTATCAATATCTTTGTAAAAAAGTATGCTTGCTTTTTGAAGAGTGGATCATTAATATTGCTGATAAGACAAGTGTATAAAATAATTAACTACATTGTCTTTTTAGATGAACTACAAGTCCCGGTACGGTCACAGGATCGCCATTTCCGAGCTGTTATTAATGATATATACAAAGCCTCTACGTCATCACTTTCAGTAAGCATAAAAATTGAAGCTGGTTTTATAGAAAATGATGAGAAAGTGTACATAATGCCAAGCGCAGATCCTGTAACTGTTAAAGGTATTATCATTATCCGTTTCATTATTGCCATCATTCAAAAATAAATAAAACATCACAATGTTTTCATCCCTAGTATTACTACGTAAGACTAGTTTTAAGTCTTCATAAAAAATGATGCAGAATAGTGAATTTTTCATGCATTTACCTTATATTTATCTTAACTTAAGATCTATTTACAGGAATAGTTGTGGAAACCAATTCAAGGAAAGGTAGTGGCTTTGCTGGTGACCAGGCTACAGTAACTCTAATACCCGTTTCAAATATTGAATCTGATTCTATGAGTATTGGATACGTTCTTTGTCGTGGTGGACAGGTATATTTTATTTCTTGCATTATCCTCTCCTTATTGCTTTTAGTATTAGCCAAATTAAAAGATTCCGGAGAAGTGAAATTTTGTTTTTTCGACATTAAAAAACTGTTTATCAATAAATCATTACCGTTAGTTTTGATTATAAGAAAGTGATCAGTGCATATTCGAGCCATAGTTTGTTATTAAAATATATTCGTAGTGGATTCTAATTCTTGTATCTGAGAATTTTTATATGTGTTTCAGGAATGTCTCATTCCTGGAACGAAATATCTGGTGCGCATTGTTGTTTTCGATATTATTGTTCCAATCATGAAAGGCACGAAAGCTGAGCTTTTCGCACATTCGTTGTGTGAGCCTTGCACTATCACAATGTTGAAAGCAGAACTGAATAAGTCTACGGGCGAAATAATAAGGCAAAAACCTAGGTTTTTTTACTTGCCTTTTTTGTTTTATTTTCTTATTCATAACGATCTTCT